TACTGCTGCACCTCAAACGTGCTGTACTTGATGTTGTCTATGGCTGGCAGCACGATGCGACGCCGGTCCTCTCGGATCCGAGACAGTGCGGGCTCTGCCCTGCGGAGGCACAGCCATGAGTGGGGGCGGCCCCAGCCCACCGCACTCCCCGAGGAGGGTCCACTCGCCCACAGGGAGGGGAGGCCAGGCCCCACCTGGTCTGCATCCAACCCTGCCACCCGCTGCTGCCACCGCCTCACTTGGAAGCCCCAGGGCCCCTCTCAGCAGTAGACCCACCCTGACCAAGGCCTCACCCCTGCTGGGGCAGCCCCTCGAATGCTCCTGGCCCCTGGGGGATGCTGGCACTGGCCACGCTGGCCCAGCTGCAGCGTCTCTGAAGGGCTGCCCAGGGGTCCACAAGAGGTCAGCTATGTCCATCACGGGCTCCCCAGCTCAGTCTTCCTCTCTGCCCAGCCCAGAGTCCCTCCTCTCCTTTCTTGTTCCTGTGGGAGCTACATTCATTTGCAAGAATTAATTGAGGATCTACTATGTGCCATGCCCTGTTTCCACAAATTGGAACACAATCATGAACTAAGGAATAAAAACAATCCGTGTCATGGGGAGCTCACACAGTGTGGGATGGAAAAGCCACCAGGCACCGCTGTGCAGTGTGGAACCTGTGCGAGTGTGCAGTGGCCCCGCTCCAGGATGGGACAGAGGATGAGGTATAAGCAGTCATGGATGTGGTAGAAGGGGCTCACAGTTTTAAGTAGGGCTGCCCTGGGTAGTGACTGGCAGGAGGCGTGGAGGGAGTCTTGGAGGGAACAGCAGTTGCACCGAAGCCCCAGCGTGTGCCTGATGGGCCTGCAGGGCTGGCCAGGAGGCTGGACAGAGCGATGGCGCAGTCGGGGGTGAGGAGGGCAGGGAGGAAGGTGAGCAGAAGCGGCCTCCGTGGGCATCAGCTCAGTCTGCGATTCCCCATCCCAGGCAGGGGTCCTGGGAAGCAGGTGAGACACCATGGTCTACTGAAAGGTGAGACGGCTGCAGAGGCCCACCATCCATGCTGGAGTCCCATGGGGCTGCTGCCACCTAGCCACCAGCTGACACAGAGCCCAGAGGCTGCAGTGAGGGGCAGGAGGGCCTGAGGGCAGATTTGGGTCAGCTCAGGCAGGGTCGGTGTGGGGAGCGGTGAGGCCCTGACCCTGCCTGTGAGACCACGTGGCTGTCCTCACCCCTCCTTCCCATCCTTCTGAGCGTGAGGCCTGGTATTTACCTGCCTTTCAGCTTTGTGAGGAGGATTAATTAATTACTGTTAGCAAAGTGCTTCAGAGATGAAAAGCTCCCTGGAAATGCCAGGTCTGCTAATAAGGCAGAATCCTTTGTGGAGACAGTTATGGGAGCGGTTGCTATTTACAGAAGGATAACTGGGTTTTCAGTTGTGAAAATTAAAGTTGCACTGGTTTAAAATTGCATTTTAAACCAGGGGGGCGGTGGCTCACACCTGTAATCCCAGCACTTTGGGAGGCCGAGGTGGGTGGATCATGAGGTCAGGAGGTCAAAA